ATAGCTTAGAAAATAATTCAACCCATCCAATTTATTTTTTTACTATTTATGGTAGCTTAGCCTAACAATTACCCCATCCCATTAAAAAAAACCAACCCATAGATTGCGAACCAGACTAACGTGCAGTAATTCATGCTTTTTAATGTCGATTTATATTTTTCTATGGTCTGCTGTTCAACAAAAACTCCCCAAGATACTATAGATGTATCATTGGGGTTATAATCTTATAAAGAACTCACATTATAAAAAATAGACTAATAATGTAATTCACAGCCCAAATCGAAATTTACCACTATAGTCATTTGATAGAACACTAATATTCGAATAGCACTTATATATCCTAATGTTTCACCTATTTTTCACTTATATATCCCAACTTGCATTTGGTAGTAAAAAATACCAGAAAGTCTTTTAGGCTTGGACTTATATACCCTCACTTTTTTTTTGCGGCACTTAAATATCCTAAAGTTTATACAACTAGCACTTAAATGCCCTAAAATTTTTATTACTAGCACTTAAATACCCTAAAATTTTTAAAACTTGCACATAAATACCATCAGTTATGCAATCTTGAGGGTATTTAAGTGCAAGTTTTAAAATTTTTATTGTACTTAAGTGTCATATTTAAAAAATTTAGGATATTTAAGTATCAGACTTGAAAATTTTAGGGTATATAAATGCTACCAAAAACAAATAAGAGTATTAAGTGCAAGTTTGAAAAACTATTTTCTTGCTACCAAATACAGGTAGGGGTATATAAGTGATAAGTAGATGAAACAATAGGGTATATAAGTGCTATTTAGCCTATTTCTTTAGATGTTTCGGCATGATAAGAAAAGTGACTCAATTGAAAATTGCAACCTCCAGCAGTTTGAGTTATACTTTTAGTAGTAAATAGAGAGTTTCTAAGCTCTATATAGTATCTTGATGAATATTTATAGTCGTTTTGATTTACTAAAAATGCTCAAATTATTATCAATCTTTTGTCCTTTGAGATAACTCCATCACCAATTGTAAAGTTACATGGTAGATACTTTTTAGAAAGATAAAATACTGGTTTTACTCTTTAAACTATGCATATTAATTTAGCAAAACTTTTGAAAAGACAAAAAAAAATTAAACAGAAAAAAAAAAGGAATGTGGACCGACCCACGATCCAAACTACCGTAAGCTACGTCGGACCAAGCCCGACCCCATGCGGACCGTGGGCTAGGCTAGATCCAACCCCAAACCCAGGAACAAAGTCCTCAGCCCAGCCTGTCGATGCCCACCTGAACCTGGATTTAAACCGGCCTAGACCCGAAATCGAACAGGCCGATTTATGAATCCAACCTTACCCGGCATAAATTTTACTAAAGTATGCACAGTGATCTTAAGGTTATGCTTTAATGTTTATAGTAGTAGATACCGTGATTGTAACCAACTTATTATTCTTTTGTTTGAAGCAACTCTTAAAATCGTATCGATAATGAAAATTATTCACTAGGGTTAGAAATGGTTCAGCCTACCAAGAGACAAATCTATGTAGCAACAAATAAAATTCACCAACAAATGCCACTTTCAAAAGTAATCATCATCTTAAATTGATACGCAAGAAACCTGAAATTCAAATCTTGCTTTCGCCTGTCCATAGTCTAATCTTGAAACGAAAACAAAACTAAATATGATGCAATAAAACAAAATATGTAAGATAAGCTTAAACACCCCTTTATAAACTTCTACAAACACTAAATCCTCCACCCCAATTAAGGATTAAAGGATTAAAGGATTAAAGTAATCAAGCATTGCTTCGTTATTTTTACTACGTTTATCACTCATTTTCCAATTTTTGGCTATGACTAGCTTGAGCTGAGGAAGATTCAGAATAAATACATCGAAAGTCAAATGAGACAAATTGACAGGAACAATATCAATAATCTGTAATAAGGAACGAGAACTTACAAGAATAGTTATATAAGAGGAAGAGCATGATATAAATGGTTTTCTCAATGTTTCCTATGCATAAGTCTATAAGAACTAGAAGACTAACAGTGAGCAAAAGTGGAGCAATAATTGGCTAATGATACTAACATCCTCCTTATTCTTACAAAACTTTACATAATCCCTGAAGAAAAATAGGGGGAGGAACAAGAAATCACCTGTGTTTTCTGGATTGTTAAGGGAACAACAAGATTTGTTCATTGAATTCGTTGGCGCAGTACTTGATCCCCTATAAGGAATTGTCGACAACGAGAAGCTTTTCTGGGTGGAAAGGGCCCATTTCAGTGTGAACAATGCGACTGTTCCATTGCAACCTGTCAGCCTCTCTCTTCACCTTTGCCACCACATCAACATGGTCTCGGATTATCACAGCCCCATCTGGTCGAAGAATTCGATCCATTTCAAGTAAGATCTCTATGATGTCACATCTACAAGAGAAAAGATAATTGGAGAATTAATGGACTTGAAAATAGATTCATATGCAACTTTCTGAAGGGAGTAGACAATTGAATCATGCAATATTATGTATAGACACAAGAAACAAGCAAACGGTAAGAGCCATCAAAAATGAAAATGTCTATGAGAGAATTCATGGCTCAAACTCAAACACAGTGTGGAAGGTTTATCTCTTATGGCTATGTTAACAGAGAACTCTCAGTGTGCAAGTGAAGGGGAATTTGTTGCAACCATAACTGCAAAGCAAGTGCCATTTGCATGAAACTTCAATTGGAGTTGCTTGGCTCGTTTCTTAAATTCTGTAATTTGCAGTTAAAATTGAGTTCGCTCTTTTTGGTATAAAGATTTTATGAACTTCTATAGGAGGCTGGTTGCAATTAGCAATGCAAATTAAAACTCATTTGCAGCTCAAAAACGTTCCAACTGCATCTTGTGTCCAAATCTGCTTAAGTAGTTGATTCCAACAAAAGAACTTTTTGTAACTGGATTTATTTGTTACAGAAAAATTAATAGATTCAACTGGCCAAAAGTATCACAGTTTATTGCAACTCTAATTGCTGAAGTTGCAGCGAACCACACATCCCTCGACATCTGTATTTGTCCCATGGCATGCTTCTTAGTTTTGCGAGACTCAACAAGCAAACGCTCCTAGTGCAGTGCATGCATGTTTGCATGTTAAATATCACCGAATCTTATCCTTGGAAATTTGTGTCAGACGAGTCTTTCTGCATAATATCACAAGTTTTGTGCCTAGTGGTTGGATTTTCCTATTTCACTTCAATATGCCATTTAGGATCGTAAATGCAATCATAGAATATACATAGCTTCGGATTTGTGTATTAAATATCATGGAATCTTATCCCTGGAAACTTGTGTCAGACAAGTCTTTCTGCATAATATGACAAGTTTGTGTCTAGTGGTTAGATTTTCCTATTTCACTTGAATACACCATTTACGATTGTAAATACAATCATAGAATATAAATAGCTTTGGAAACAGTATCCATACTCCGCGCAGAGCAGATATACCTAATGAGGGGTAATATAATTGAACTAAATAATTGCTTCAGGGCAGTTACATTCTTTATCATAGCAGACTCCCAAATTGTCCAATAATGGAAAAAATTGTTAATTGACAAACAATAGTTTTGGGCTGTAGTGACCAGCAGACCAGCTCTGATTGAAAGGGGTGTCAATGACACAAAAGCAGACTAAAATTTTCAGCATGTCAATAAGAATATAAAGTTAGATCTGAATTGGCTGGAATAAAGCCAAAGACCGTAGAATAAGCACATTGCTACTAGAATAGTGCATGAAATAGATTGCTCACTTTTCCATATATATGCTGAATATCCCATGAGAATGTATCAGATCATATGTTCGAGGATAAGTTGAGAAGCCCTCACACCTGCAATTAACCATCTCTCACAACATCGTACTCCAATTAAATTTTATAATACTGTAAAATCAGTTAAACAACATCGAAATCATAGAATGCTACTTGAACATCGCCACACGTACGTACGAGCAAACAATTAAGCTCTTCTTAAATTTGTACAGAGAAAACAATTTTTAGAAAAAAAATAAAGCAGTTAATAACTCCAAACCCACCCCATCCCCCAACTCAAATAAGGAAAAACAGTAATGCTTCGAACTTAAAAGAATGGGGATATTAATAGCATTTAAATGTCATGATCTTTCTTAACAGTGTAATTCATGGGAAGTCTTGACACTTGTAAATATTTGCCACTTCCAACCTTGTGCGTTAAAGGGAGAGGAAAAGTTAAGCAAACCTCTGCAACATTTCATAGTTGTCTTTAGGATCTTTGCATTGACTCATGATTACTTTGATAGGTGAATGTGGATAACTTTTACTTATTATGAAAAACTTGATATATAACTCTTAGCAAAATTTTATTAAAAAAAAACAACTATGCCATAATAAGAGTTGACCATGAGAAAGTCATATAACATACCAGTCCATATATGTTCCGATAAGGCCACGCTCATATATGATGCCTAGAGTGTTATTGGCCAAGTTCACGGGAACTACATTCATAACCCAAGCCGGATACTTGGACATTGCTGCAGCAAAACCACCTATGCCAGCATTCATATCCATAACATTTCTGTATTTACCTCCCTGGGACAACCTGATATAATATTCATAGTTGGATATTCTTTTATTCCATATTTGATTATCATGAGTGAAGGTCTCAGCAGTTAGTCCTTTTATGCTCCCACTAAGTACTCTTGGTGGTACAGCATTTAGTCTCTTAGGCCACTTTGCTAGAGCACCACCAGCTGTTTCCTCAGTAGCTTCCACCTTTGGAAGAGGACTCATGCAGATGTCCATTTTATCGTACCTGTAATCCATGTGCAAAATCATTATTCAGGTGAAATCATAATGGGACATATACGAAACACTAAATTGGAAAAGGAGCATCATCTTAGGAGATCAATTTCTATGATAATATATAATTCAATTTTTCATCACAAGAAAGAAATACTGACATTTCCAAAGACAGGAATCATAAAAACTGAAATAAGTGTAATTAAGTGCAAGAGAGAGATGGATGGATGTTCCTATACACACTATATGTGTTAGCTAATGTGCCAAAGAAGTAATTATTGTGAACATTGTAATCACTAAATTGTAAATCCACACCCTCATTGTGATCAACGGGATGTAAAAGTACATGAAGCAAAGTTTAACTGTTTCGAAGCTATATACTCTTGACCCATATAAATATCCAGTGGACCATTTAATTTGTTATTCTTGCAGTTCATTTGCACGCTCAGATGCATCTGCTTAAAACCCCCAAGGTAATTGATTTTTAGCACTGTAATGTAGAATATTATAAATAGATTAGAGTACCCAAGTGGTCCATGTATCTGTTGTGAGTCTGTGCACTGCTGACTAACGTGTGCACAATACACAAACTACACAGAATTTGTGTCTGTCGCATTAATTTTTGCAGTGAATAATGATCCATAATAGAAATCATAAAATCCCTATTTTGGTCATGATCTATATGATTTAAAACTCATATATAACAGTAATCAAATGCAAATTATAGAGCGTCTCCATCAATCATGATTGACATGACCTCAAAGACAAACTAAACTTCAAGGAGTTCGGATTTGGATTGAAAAATGTGCCTTGTTATCCAAAAATATTAACGTTGTTCAATTGGTGCACATACAAATAACCCAAAATATTTTAACATTTAGATCTAAATATTTTTTAGATTTTCAATTCAAATGGCCTACCATAAAATTTTGATTGGAACAATTTGAAGTTAAAGTGATAAATGATGCAAAAGTTGTTACTTTGCCTGTGATTGGAAAATAAACAACAAAAACCAGAAGCTGATCAACAATTTTCTCTTATAAATATGACTGCAGATTGGTAATATTTTGTGAGAATATTAGAAAGACTTAGATATATTAACAGATAGATCATAGAAGGAATACAGCTGCTCACCAAGCAGCATCAGGACCTGGTCTGACACAAAATGGAGGAGAATTCAAAACCTTGGCCTTCTTAGCACAGTGAATGTGATTAGTAGGTTTTTGCCAAACTGCAAATATGCCTTTCTCAATAACTTTTTTCCAACAAAGTTTTCTAGCAAGATCCTCTAGCTCATTCTGCTCAGCTTCTAAATCCTGTGGTGTCCTCTTCCAACCTATGTACATGTTCTTCCAATTAATGGGTGGCCCAGACAAAACCCAGTAGCCACCAGGTCGAAGAACTCGATCGATTTCCATTAGATATCTCCCACCTAACATACAGCATATGGATTAGAAAATAGAAATCTTGCCTACATAACTCCTAGACCTCTTTCTAGTTTTCTACAAACAAAGATAATCTTAATTATTAATTTAATCAAGAACCAATAACCAAACTGAAGAATCCTTCATTCTTTCAACATATAAAGACATGCATTCCTTCACAAACATACACATAAATAACATATATAAAGGTTAGGCAATTTGCATTATTATTTCCTTTTAACAAATGATGACTACATATATGTTTTTCATTTTCTTCCAATTAGCACTTGTTCATGTATTGTGCATATAGCACAACAATGGTATATATTTTGACAAAATTTTGAAAAGACAAGTCTGTGGCATTTCATGCTAATCTTTCCAAGTATGTCATGAAAAAATAAGACAATTTCAAGGCTTCATCTGATAAAAATGGCAGTTGACATGGCACAAGTCTAGAGATTGCATCCAATTTGAATAAAGAATTTATATACTTGCATAACAAATTTTTTTGTGTCACTAGTAAACAATTTAATTTTCTTAAGCTAATGATCTATTTTCTCAAAAGTAAAAGTGATGTATTTACCATAACCAGCCCATTTGATGAGACATCGAGCACAGTGACCCATGTCAAAGGACCTAGATGGATATGGTAACCTTGTGGTACTAAGAACTCCCAGCATAGCTGGCAATCCACGTTCAAGGGCGAACTGTACTTGGGCTTCATGTGTATCTCTTGGTGCCACAGACATAGTCAGTACGTTATAGTCAAGAATGTGACCGCCGAAACTTGCAACCTGAGTATGAGTCGATAAATGATAAAAATATCAATTCTAGTCTTTATAAATATGAGGATAAGGGCCAGAAAATTATAGGAGATGAAACTGAGATCTTATTATCCAGCCCTCATCAATATATTTCCCATGTAGGTTAGTGTCTACTACAAGTCTAGCAGATATGTCAACTACAAATAAACATATAATAATGCATCTGGTGCTAAATTCTAGAAAAATGTATTTAATTTCTTTTGTTTTCTGTTTGTAATGAGAGACGTGTGGCCATTATCCAGATATGACAAAGACTACAGCATAACTCAAGGAAAGTGAAGTGACACCTCATTATCGCTAGAGGATTTACTGATATTTTGCCATAATCAAGAGTAGATTTCACAAGAGCAATATTAACAGAACAAGTCAAGAAGCTATTATGGAAGTAGACTATACTTCGGCTAAAGTTGGACTATTGAATAACAAATATGCGGTCTCCTGCTATGTTGGAGAACTAATAAGGAATACTAGGGTATACAAGACTCTCCAAGCATTCGATGAAAAATAAATTAGTGGGGACACACGCATAGCATGGATCAAGGAGAAACCATTTAGCTTTCGTTTACAATCAAAGATGCGACATATGTGGCATTAATCCACAAATAAAATGATTGTGGGTCTAAGAAGCATAGGCATCAACATCTAATGTAACTTCATAACATAAATAACATGCAACATATGGTATATAAAGCAGATGATCGCTAAGGCCAAGCCTGTATGACATTATACTGCATATGAGAATAATTGAGAAGGAATCATGAGAAGGATAAGGTAACAGATACCCATGCAAATTCGGGGTGATCCCTTCATCAACTAGTAAATAAACTGAAGTTTTTCAGATTCTAGTAATTTAACTCCAACGTAACTCTCACAAATTTACACCAAAATGAAGATGAAGCAACATTAATGCAACATCCAATCCACCGAAAGAGAAAAAACTCACCCCGCACCCGATATCAAGAACAGTCCTAATCTCCCCGTTCCTCAGCTGCGGCAGCACCCTCCCGAGATCCTCCGCGTACTTCCTAACCCCGTGCGGGAAGCTCGTGCCTCCGCCCGGAAAAACCAGGTAATCCCCTTCGAGGACCACCCAATGCTGGTCCTTCTTGGCCTCGATCAGATGCTTGGACGGCACATTGGCGAACCAAACCCTGCCCCTGCTCTCAGGCCACGGCACCCTCGGCCGGAGCTACCATCGGGCCTCGGAACCGCCAGAGGGCTTCTCGTAGGTGGGCCGGCAGTGGCGCTCCCGATGGAAGGAAGTGCCCTGCCGTCTTGAAGAGGCCGCTCTTCGGTTGGATCATGGCAAGCGGGAGTAGTCAGTGAAGTTCCGCGGGGCAGAAGGGGATCGGGGGCCGAGGTTGGGAATGGCGGGGAAAGGAACCCAGTCCTCGGCGCGAGGTGAGACGGGAGGAAGTGCCGACGGTCGCGAGGAGTGAGGGAGGTGGGGGAGGCGGGAGCAGCGAGCGGCAAGAAGCGGGGAGGCGGGCGGCAGCGCGGAGGGATCTTGGGGAGGTGAGTTGCGGGAGTAGATGCCGAGCGGTAGGAGACGATAGCAGAGCGAGGAGTTGAGGAGGCATTAAGTTTAGGGTTTGGCGATTAGGGTTTGGGATTGGGAGGAGCTGGAGCCATCGAGGAGGAGGCATTTTTTTTTCTTTTTTTTTTCCTCTCTTTTTTAATTTTTTCCCCCTCTGCTACTTGATTTTAATGGCGATGGTGGGAGTGACAGTGTGTCGAGGTTTTAGCGATTGGTGGGGCGAAGGGTGGACTTTGGTTGTGACTGGTTCGTCGGGATTTGTCAGAGCGTTGAACTTCTTTTGAGTAAACTTCAGCAAGACCCTTAAGTTTGGGCTCTTACCGAGCAACCCCCATCAGTTTTGAGACTATCACAGAATCCCTCCTATGTTTTGGGGTGCTCAGAAAATCTCCTTCAACTCTCAACATTTTTGAAAAAAAAAGGCCTCCCTATATGAGCTGAATCACAATTTTTCCAAATGTTTGAAATCTTTTCTATCAAAGATACTATAGCTGTTTGCAAATCATGAACAGAGGATTTTAGGTGAGATAAGATAAAGGCTAGGAAATTATGAGACTATCACAAAATTCGGTGGGTTGTGTGAGATAAACAAATTAAATTTAAGAGAGTTACGTGCAACACTCCGCATAGTACAGGAGGAGTTATGTGAAATTTTAACCATTTTTTTTTTCATAAGTACGTTGCGGTATTTGGTGGAGGCACACCCAGCCTTTGGATTTCTTGGGGAAGGCCGGGAGATTGAGGCAAATTATATACATGTAATTTGTATCACATCCACATATATTAACTTTGTAATAGGATCAAAAGGTTAACGTCTAAGGTTTTTCCTTTTTGAAAGAGCAGGGAAACACCTTATAATTATTTATTTGTGCGGCTGTTTATAATTATAGATGTCAAAATATTATAAGTGTGGACGCAGTATAAGTAGCAATAATTATAATCATCAACGTAATATAGAATTATAATAAGAATTCTATCAGAGCGCTTCACAAGGCGTTCTGCGCCATGAAACCCAGAGATATTTTGGACCTTTCACTGCTCCTATTTGGCACCATAACACCTACATAAAGAAGAAATGGTGAGAGAGTATAGGAAAACAACAAAAGAATCAGCCAGGCAAACTGACGGTCAACCGCGAACGTGCACAAAGGCCACTAAGAATCAGAGCTGAAGGCGTCGACCGTGGCGATCGATCGCGGGGACCCTGTAGGCGATTATCTCTCGGGAAATCAGTTCGTTCGACCGCCACGGTCGACCGCGAGTTTGACTGTAGGATTTTGGTTCTCTGTCAGGGGTGTTCGGTCGACCGCGAGCTTCGTGCGGTCGACCGTGAGACCTACGCGGTCGACCGCCAAGGTCGACCGCAGTCTGTTTTTGAGCTGGGCTTTGGATTTTGACCCGGTTCACTTCTGAGTTGATATATAACCCTAAACCTGATTAATTAGGGTTAAGCATGGATAATTTTGAGCAGTCTTTGAGAGAGAATTGCTGCATCCAATTGTGGAAGATTTGTGAGAGATCTAGAGCTTTGTTTTAGGGCTTGATAACTCTATTTGTATTCTCTTGATTTCTAATAGTAATAACTCCCCCCTCCTTGCCCCGTGAACGTAGACAATTTGCCGAACCACGTAAATCGTTTGTTCTTGCTGTAGTTGTGATTTGTTTATTAGTTGTGGTTTATCTCTTGGATTGTTCGTGTTGCTCCTCGAAGCTTCCGCCGCGCACAACAATTGGTATCAGAGCTTCAGGCTTGTTCAAAGGATTCGGTGAAGATTCCTATTTGAAGAGTTAGATCGACAACATGGGAGATGTAAGCACATCAGGTTCGTCTTTTACGAAGGCGATACAGAGTGTGAGCATCAATAACACGAAGATTAATGTTCCGAAGTTCGACGGTAAGATCAATTTCGGATTGTGGAGGTGTCAGGTGATGGACGCCTTGGATGCACAGAATTTGGAGGAGACTCTTGAGTTAAAAGAGAAACTCGCTGACATGAAGGACAATGTTTGGAGGAAGATGAACAGTAGAGCTTGTGGTGTTATTAGGTCATGCTTGACGCCGGATCTTATTTATGATATTATGAACGATACGTAGGCGAAGAAGATGTGGGAAACACTCAATGAGAAGTATCTTACGAAAAGTATTGAGAATCGGCTTCACTTGAAAAAGAGGTTTTACCAGTTCAAGTTGAAGAGGGGAGTTTCCATCAGGGAGCATGTCAACGATTTTACTAAGCTACTTTCAGATATGGCCAATGTGGACATCATAGTTGAGGATGAAGACAAGGTGATGTTACTTCTGTGTTCGTTGCCCGAGGATGATTATGGTACGTTCGTTCTCACTATGATCAATGAAAGAACTACAGTTAGCTATAATGAGATGACCTCAGCTTTGGTGAATTATGAGTTGAGGAAGAGTAATGGTGAACCCTCTGAGAAGGCATCAGGAGATGCATTAGTAGTTCGAGGCCGAGATCCAAACCGTCGTCAGTTCAACTGCTCAAAGTCAAAGAATAGGAGTGCCTATAAGAGTGTTGGTAGAAATCAATGTCGGTATTATAAAGAAGAAGGACATTGGAAGATTGACTGCCCAAAGTGGAAAGAAAAAGCTGGGAAGAATAAGGGGAAAGTTGCACAAGCTTCAGAAGTGAATATTGCAAAAGCTATTGGTGAGCATTCAGATTTAAATTCTTCAGGCTATTCATGCTCTGCATTACCGTCGGTTTCCTATGCGGATTCCACGGAGTGGATGATGGATTTGGGAGCTATATATCACATTTGCCCTAAGAGGGAGTGGTTCTCTAGCTTTGAGGAGCTGGAAAGAGGGAATGTCGTGCTTATGGGTAATGACCACATATGTCCTATTAGTGGTATTGGTTCAGTCCGGATTAGGATGCATGACGGTGTGGTGAGAGAGTTGAAGGAAGTGAGATTCGTGCCGCAGTTGACGAAGAATATTATTTCTCTTGGGACTTTAGAGGCAGCAGGATATCGAGTGATCTTAGAGGATGCTACAGTGAAGGTCACAAAGGGCTCTATGGTGGTGATGCAAGGTGTCAGGGAAAACAACCTATACTACTTGAAGGGCAAGACAGTTACAGGATGTCTGGCAGCTTCTATCACTACAGAGGAGGATACTACCACTTTATGGCATATAAGACTTGGACACACAGGAGATAAGTCCCTACAATCATTGGCTAAACAGGGGCTATTGAAAGGTGCTAAGGCCTGCAAGATGAAGTTGTGTGAGCATTGTGTACTTGGGAAGAAGACTAGAGTGAAGTTTAGCACCGCTATTCACAACACCCAAGGTACATTGGACTACATTCACACAGATGTTTGGAGTCCTTTCAAGAACACATCTCTTGGTGGGGCCAACTACTTTGTCACTTTCATTGATAATTATTCCAGGAGGAATTGGGTATACCTTATGAAGCATAAACATCAGGTACTATATATTTTTATGGAGTGAAAGAAGAAAGTGAAGCTGCAGACATGTAGAAAGGTGAAGACTCTACGTTCAGATAACGGTGGAGAGTACAAGAGTGATCCGTTTCTATAATTTTATTAGGATCACTGTATTAGAAGACACTTCACAGTTCGAGAGACACCGTAACAGAACGGGTTGGCTGAGAGATTGAACCGTACTTTGCTGAAGAAGGTGCGATGTATGATGACGCATAGTGGATTGCCTAGATCCTTTTGGGCCGAGGCATTGGTTTATGGGAGCCATCTCGTGAATAGGTTGTCGTGCACTACGATAGACGGGAAGACTCCTTTGGAGCGTTAGTTTGGTTCGGTGGCTAGTGACTATGAGTCACTTTGGATATTTAGATGTCCAGCTTATTACCATATCAGTGATGGTAAATTAAATCCGAGAGCGAGAAAAGCAGTCTTTGTGGGATTTAGAAATGGAGTCAAAGGCTTCAAGTTATGGGATACACGGGACAAGAAGATAGTTATTAGTAGAGATGTCATATTTGATAAGACATACATGATGAGGCCTCGAGCCCCTCAGCAGGTGGAGGGAGACCAGACAGGAGAGATATCATAGCAGGTGGAGGATGATATGACTCCACCCACTCCAGAGAGCATTGTATCCATCGAGGCTCCTACAGAGGTGACACCGGGAGGAGATGAGATGACAGCCGGGTAGATAGAGGATACAGTAGATTATGGGACTCAGGAACAGGGTCATGTTCAAGGGTCCATTACAGCAGATAGACCAAGGAGAGTAATTCGTCAGCCAGCTAGGTATAATGATGTCATGGTCGTATATGCATTATCCGTGGAGGTCGTTGATGATATGGTTCCATCCGTATTCAGGGAGGCAGAATCTAGCCCCGATTCGATCAGGTGGAGGGAAGATATGGAGGAGGAGATGCAGTCTCTTCAGGAGAACGACACTTGGACACTTGCACACTTGCACATCTACCTAATGGTAAGAGAGCTATAGATTGTAAGTGGATATATACGAAGAAGGAGGGATCTTCTATTGGGGACATTCGATTCAAAGCCATATTGGTTACCAAGGGATATGCATAGCTTGAGGGCATTGACTACAACGAGGTATTTTCACCCGTTGTGAAGCATTCATCGATATGTAAAGACAGCATTTCTACACGGTAATTTAGATAAGAAGATCTACATGATACAACCATTAAGAT